CATTTCTTTCTACGAGTTTTGTTAAATTAGTATATCAAGCGTTTTATAAACTTTTTTCGGAATAAAGCTGTCTTCAGTATTAATATTATTGCTAATCGTACATAGCAATTTTGTGTTTGTGTTATTCATTATTTCTATATTATATTATTTAAATTTTCAATTATCTCCTTCAAAATCTTGTCAGTATTACTGTTACCGATTTCCTTTGTTGTTATATTTAATATAGATAATACATCTGTAATATTAGTAAATATTGATTTCAAATTCGGTATTATATCTTATAATAGAAATATATGTACATAATCTAAATTAACTGAATTTCTATATATACATAATTTTAAGTTACCGAATTTCTATTTCCCTTTCTAACTGAGAAATTGTAGTCGAAATCACTCAATCATAAAATTAATAAACACTTATTTATCAGATTTTAACTATTATATTGTACATATACACCAAATCTTTTAATATACATTACTATCACTACACTAACTTCTCGATACATACAACTGTCAAAATATGCAATGACAGCCGCTCACGAAGAAAACGCTATGACGGAATCAATCGGCATCACGGATTAAAGGCAACAATTCTTCGATACATTCGAGAATAAATAACATGCCTTTTTTAGAAAGGGAATCTTGTCTTTCTCTTATATCTCTTCTATTTCTATCTTTTATCTTCTTTATGTTATTCTAAATGATTAACCGCAAACTGTTAAACTATCAAACAATCTTGGTTGTGATTCACACAAGCCGCGAAACAAACTTCGAGACAACCAATCAGCGTCGCGGAAAAGAGGCTTCAAAACTTCGATACAAATTGAATTCACACAGTTAACATGCCTTTTTTAGATATATATTTATATACACATACACAATAAATATATATAACATATTTTTTCTCTTTAAATTGTTCTAATTAATATTTCAATAAATAGTTATTATAGAATAATTAATGTTGATATGCAACAAAAAATTATATTATATGTATATGTATATATATATATATATATTGTATATATAATATAATTTGTCATATATATATATATATATATATATATATATTTAAAATATTTAAAAATGTTTAAATTTGGTTTTAAAGAAAACGTAAACAATACCGTAAAATAACTATAATGTAAAATACGATACTCTAAAGGAATTATTATGCTTTATGGAAACTGGCTATCTAACAAGCTCGAACTAATGATTATAAATGAAGTATATGATCTTTATGTAGCAGCTGATAAATACAATATACTATACAAGATTTCAAATTAATTTGTGCACAACATTTAATTATAAATACATTAGTAAAGAATGTTGTAACATTTATATAAAATAAATAATTGATGATTATAAGTAAATATATAACTTTTTTGTACTGCTGAGTAATAAACATTTTAAAACAAATAAAAATTCACTATTTTTGAAAAAAAGTTCATATTTAATTCGTTTGCTACATTTATAATAAACAATAAATATTTTAAAGTAAATAAAAATGCAATATATTTAAAAAGTAAAGTATTTGAAACTATGTTTAATTATTATATTATTATATTATATTATTAAACAAATACTTTATAAATAAATTTTTTCAAAAGGTGCAATATAGAATATTAGATTATTTGATTAATTATTATATATAGAATATTAGATATTTGATTAATTAGAAACTAAAAATAAAACATTAATTAGATTGTATAAAATTGTCTATAAAATATTCTTCATGCATTTGGATGCATGCATTAAATATTTTATTATGTATTTTTAATATCTTTTTTAAAAACATAACATTTTATTCTACTGATAATCAAAATTATTATTACCTCATCTTAAATTTTAATGAAACAAATATATTTTGTTTTAATTCTTAAGTAATTCAAATTTAAGTAATCCAAGTATTTTTACATTATATGCACAAATTTTTTCGATTGTTATATAGTAAAAGATTTTTTACGTGACATATTTTAGTTTTTTTAATGTATATAAAAAATGTAGTTAAACTCTTACAAAAATAACAGTTTTTATTTGCATCTGAATTTCTGAGTAAAAACAATTTTGTAAAATTTTATATGACTTTAACGGAAGTCAAGATATATGCGAATTGGATCTTGTATGAAATTTCACCAAAATTATTTATTAATTGTAATTAATATTTTTTTATTTTTATTTCAGTTCCTTTTTATTTATATATTCTTCGTTTTCTTTCTTCTTCTCTCTTTTTCTTCCTCCTCTTTCTTATATTTTTCTTATATTTCGTTCGTTTTAACTGTAAATAAAAACGTTTACATATACATATTAATTTTATATATACGGGTTATTATTTTAGACCTATTATTTTTAAAAATACAGTTGCTTATCTTAAAAATAAAACAATTTAAGAAAAAATATTTTGTATAAGTTTTATCTTTGAGGGGGACGTAAGACAGTGTGATTAATTCATTTAAAGATTATATAAAAATTACGTTCAATTTTTTAAATAAAACATTTTTTATTAAATTATAGTTTACCTCGAAAGTTTTCCAAAACACTGATAAAATACTTTTCCATTAAATACTGTTCAAATTATAAAAGTGAAAGTTTCCAGGATTTGATAAATATTTTGTAAAACATTTTCAAGTTTTGTAATTCAAAAATTGCTTAATAACAATATATATTATATTATAGTAAAGAATATATACTTTTGTTATAGTACTTTGAAAGGCTCTCGAGGTGAACTATAACAAAATGCAAAATAGTTTCATTTAAAAAATTAAAAATGACTTCCCAACAACTATTTAAAGTCAATTAATGACATTATCTCTTTTTCGAAATCATGAAAATTTTATACAAAACCTTTTTCCCGAAAATGTTTTCTTTTGAAAATAATTAATTGTATTTTTTAAGTAAAATAAATTAACATTGCATACACACACGCACGTACGCACGCATATATAAAGTATCACAAAAATCTAAAAATGATATCTCATAAACTATGCATTTAAAAAAGTGTTTTAGACAATAGTTAAAAAGATGCATTTAAAAATAATTTGAGCTTAACCGTGAATAACGTTGCCAATGTTGCCACATATTTCCTTTACATTATTGATAATATATATGCATATATATATATATATATATATATATATTCATCCTTATTTTGTGTATAAAAGTATTAAGATAAAATTATCAAAAACTGAATGTTTTAAAAGTTTTAAACTGAATGTTTTGGTTCAGTAAATAGATCTTTTTAAACCTTATAACTTTTATCTGAAACATTTTTTCATAAAACTTATATTTTTTGGGATATTTCAGGGTCCCGGTTTTTTTTTATTCACCCTGTATATTATACACCACACCACACCACACCACACACACACACACACACACGTACACGCAGACGACACGCACACGCTCACGCACACGCACACACACACGCGCACACACACACACACACACACACACACACACACAGCGTGTCCCACCTAGATGTGGCAACTCCCTTTTAACTTTTAAATTAAAAGAGATAGACAACAAATATATATGATGATAGATAACAAATATATATGAAATTAAATGGCTCGAACTGAACTTTATTGTGAGCATAGTGGTTGATTATTAAATTATTTTTGAAAATTTTTTCAATATTTTTTTTAAAAATAATGCAAAAATAAAAAAATGATCACCTTTTCAATAGCAACATCTTTATTCTTCTTAGAGTAATAAATATTTGAAAATTTTTAATTTTATTTTTTGGAATTTCTTTTAGAAATTCATAACTCAAGTATGAATAGAGATAAAAATCTAAAAAAATCATGGAAACTACTTTCAATAAGTGCAAAAACAAAAAAATGAAGCAAATAAAAAAATGGTCGATTTGTGTATGGTATGAAATACCCCATATAAATATAATATATATATATATATATATATATATATATATATATATATATATGTTCCGGAACCGTTGAAAATAATTGAGAGTCTCCGCGAAAAGTTTAAATGTCGCGCGATTAAATATATTGAGAACCATAAATCGTCGCATTAGCGAATCACGAATTTCCACGCGACCGAGGCATAGCGCGTAGCCGATCCTTCTCACACCTCTTTGCAATTCGCATTCGCGGTCCTTTTTCGCCAACTTAAGTGCGCGGTGTATCGATTAGGATCTGTCGCGCACCCCCGATCATGCCTATCTGAGTCGCTAATATCCTTCCTCGTTTCCCGTTCCTTCTTCTTGTTCCGGCTCTCAGTGTATTAACACATTGCCTCGTTATTGGAGATTCGTATCACGCGTGGTTCACATAATCCTTCGAGTCACGAAAGCGATTATTTTCCGCCGGTCATCGGCAAAAATTTGTAGAATATTGTGCAAGCGATATTTTCCATTATTTCAGTTTTATTTGTGAAATACATGCATAGTTCGGCTGCAATTACGACCGCATGTATCACCACGTGCTCCGACATTACAGTGTTCCGGAGACTCTCAGAGACCTCGATTTCGCGAACGGTGCATCGCGCATCCGCGTTCGGCTCTTGATCGCTGCGATCTTTGTAAAAATTATCGCGAGAAGATTTCCGTCGAGTACGCGCGCAGCAATTACGATCAAGCACAAGATGTCCGTCCGTTCTCGTTAAAATTTTTGTCCACCGTTCGCCAAGTGTGTTTAATTCGAACTCGAAACTTTAGTTTTTTTTGTGAAAGATCGACAACTTTAGTTTTTGTGAAAGATCGAATAAACCTTTTTTTAACCATACTCTCAGCTGTTAACAATCAACCCCTTCTTCCTCTATTCCCGATCAAAATTAATTTAATCAGTGCATTCCGCATCAATATACACTTATTAAATTTATAAAAAATAAATTTATTTACCTAATATTGCATATTTCCTTCTTCCTTCCTTTTGTTTTTCTCTTTCTGTATTTTTTCCGAATCCTCTTTTCTCTTCTTTCTCTTTCTTTTTCTTTTTATGGTCCTTCTTTTTCCTTTCTCTCTTTCTCTCGATTAATCTCCGTCACTTTCTTTCTTTCTATTATATACAATATAATTTATAGCACATGATCGTTACAATGGTATGAAATTGTAAAATACTACTATTCAAGAATGTCTAAATATTTCCATAAAAAGGTAGATTTTATAATATATAAATATAGATAATAGAGAAAATATATAATAAAAATATATAAAAATAGATTTTATAATATATATATAAATATAGACAAAATAGAAAATATATAATAGAGAGGTTGTAAAATTACTACATAACGATTAAAATAGAAATGTATATAATATATTATACTATATACATACTTTCCTATTTTCTTCTTTCTCTGTATTTTTTTTTAAACTTACACTATCTTTTATATATTTATATATATGATGTATTTTATTCTCTGTATTTTTTTTTCTTAACTTACACGCACTATCACATATACGCAGCCAGAATGACAGTTTGACAGTCGTATCATATAACCAACATACGAGGATACAAGTGAAGCAAGTCATAGTGCACGAAATGCTCGACAACCAACAACCAATCGGCATCACGATAAAAAGGCAACAATACATTCGAGATATTGCGAGAATACATAACATGTCTAAAAAAATTAAACAAGGTATATATATATATATATATATTAAATATTCATAACTAAAATGTATTAAAAAAATATTTTCTTATTTACATAACATATATTTGTATATATAATATTATATACTTATTATTGATATTATATAAATTAATTTTAGATAATAAACTGAAATATTCAAAATTAGAAGAAACGGAGGAATTAACACGCTTCAATAAATCGATTAGGTAAGCTTTTTCATTATTTATTATAACATGAATATCTTTTCTTCAATAATTTTGAATTTAATCATTTAATTTACTTAAAAAATTTTTTAAATTTTGTATAATTATGTGTGATATAAACATTCATTTATTAATGTTTAATTATTTAAATTTCATTAGGTTAATTCATTTTATAACAAAATTTATTATATGTTATTATTTAATTCTTATGTCATTGATTATTACTAATAATTAATAATCGTTTTATGATCATAACTATAATTATTATTATTAATTTAGTAACATTTTATATATTTATATTCATAGTATATCTAAAAATGAAGATATTTAAAAAAAAAAGAGGACATTTCAATTTTAAAACATAACAATATTATTGAAAATACTAATGTTTCGACAAAAAGTGGAAAAGAAATTACAATTATAAATCATAACAATGAAGAGGAAATAATACAGTTCGTATCTGATGAAATATTAGAAACGATACAGTTTGAAGATTCAACTGTGTAAGTTTTTATATTTATTCTTAATTCTTACTATACGAAATTTATACATTTACAAAAATAACATAATTTGTCATCTGTTGTTGATTTTTATAAATCAGTTAATATTGATTTTGGGACAGTTAAATTTAATTTCTCATTTCTACGTAATATCTACATATATAGATTAGAATTGACAAAATATAATTAAATATGTAGTAAAATTAATATCAAATAATGTAGAAAATTATTGTGACTGTGACATATAAAGGGTATTACTGTAAATATGATTTAACCATGGATAAAATGATTAATTTTATTTATGTTAAATTTTTCGAAAAAAAATATTTCAGTGAAATTATTGGTTTTATTGATGAAATAGAAGGACCTAAATTTGTTGGCAAGACTCAACAATATAAATTATTAAAGTTTATTGTAAATAATAATAGCCGGCATCAAATCCAAATGATTGCCTAGAATAAGGAAATTGAGCAAATAGAATTTAATTTGCAACCAAACCGAGTAATTAATATATTATTTATTTACATTTATGTTTTGTTACATTAATTATACTTGGAATAATTTTATTATAATAATTTTTATTTGATAAAAAATAATATTTATATACAAATAAGATGTTAATTCGACAAGATTTATTATTAGTACTAAGTTGTTATTTAATTAATAATTTCAAATTGTCATATTTTAAAGATAATTCACATTGATGGTGCTAAAGCCAAAAAAATAAAATTCCCAGAATTTAATCACGGAACTGTTCCGTATGAACTTGTAATTCAGTCACACACCGTAATCAATACTTTAGGTGCTTTTGATATAAAAGCAACAATTAATATAGCAAAGCCAAAATTAATAAAGTTTGAAGAAATTCCTGAATATTTAAATAGCTATATACGCGTAAGAAATATATATTATTATATGATATTATATTATGATTAAATATGTTTTTAAAAAATGAAAAATTTATTCACAATAATCGATATTTTATTATTAAGTAATAACATACATTTATTATTATTAAATGATAATCCTTAAGAGTCGCCAGTAATAAATAATGAAAAACTCTCCTCCAATTTTAAAGTCGACCAGACTGGCAATAATTTATTTTAAATAATTAGTTTAATTTACAACGTTTCGGCTGTCATTGCAGCCCTTTTCAAGTAATCTATAAACAATTATATACATATAAATATACTCTTAATGCGCTTAATCATACAAATAATTATAGATTTACAAAAATATATATGTTTACATACCAGATTAATACAATAAATCATATTTACAGCAAACCCCCGACAAAATTAACCATTGTTTTGATGAACAATGTATAACTGACAGAAGTAAGCACGAAATAAATAGATGTTGACTGTTAGCAGGAAACTTAGTCACTACGCGTTGAGGAAATAGAAAACCAAAGTACTGTGTCTTTCGCAATTTTTAAACCGTCAATACAAAGTCAAATAAATAGATAAATAAATAAATAAATAAATAAATATGTAACATATGACAATATAATATATTAAATAGCTTCAAGAACGCGATCATAAATCCCACTGAAATTCTCCGTATCTTTTTGTAAATTAATGCTTTTTCTTTGGTTTTTTATATAGAACATTTCTGCTATTTCTCTTTTTCTCGTTTGTTTTTCTTGATGCAGAATCACAGGAGAATCCCAACGGAACTCATGATCGTTACAAGTCCGATGCAAACTAACAACTGAGTGTGATGTCGTGTCTTTTTTAATGTTATTTTTATGTTCCTTAATACGTGTTTCTAAATGTCGCTTTGTTTGTCCAATATATGTAGAGTCGCAATTCGCGCATTCGATCTTATAGACGACATCGGTTCTTTTAAGTTATCAATACTATCTTTTCCTCTTTTTATCACAGTGTCTAATTTTTTTGGAACGGTATATACTACACCGATTCCATTTTTGTTTATGCAACGAGTAATATTTTCGCTCAAATCTCTAATATACGGCAACACTATAACATTTCGTGTATCAAATTTATCTTGATTAGACGCACCAAAATTACCGCCAAATTTAATCGCCCTAAGTCTCCTGTTAACAATTTTGTTTATGACTGTTAACGGGTAACAATTGTTACGAAGAATTCGTTTGACTAAGATGATGTTTTTCTCGTGAATCATAGGGTCAGCGAGTAAAATAGCCCTGTCCACGAGGCTTGTGATCACACTAATTTTATAACGCATCGGATGGTTCGAAAGAAAATTTATATAACGGCCTGAAAACGTAGGCTTACGAAACCAGTCAGTCGTCAATTTGCCATTAACTCGCATAACGCTTGTGTCTAAAAAACTTAAGGAACAATTGTTCTCCAATTCAAACGTAAACTTTAGTCGAGTGTGAAAACTATTAAAAATCGTAAGCATATCCTCCACTTTACATTTCGGAATAATTGAAAAAATGTCATCAACATATCTGAAATAACAATAGGGCTCAAAATCCAATTGACGCAAACAATATGATTCCAAATCGTCCATAACCATATCAGACAAAATTGGAGACAAAGGAGACCCCATAGGCGAACCGAAAACCTGCTCGTAAAATTTTCCATCGAAAACAAAACTAGTCGAGCGCATGACCGTGTCAATAGCATGTAAAAACTGTGCAATGTTAAATGAAGTAAATTGTGAGATATTATCCCAACGGTTTTCTATTGCTGCTTTTATTAATTCCCACGGTGTGTTAGTAAAAAGCGAAGTCACGTCCAACGAAATCATGACATGATCGTCATCAATGTTTTTATCTTTAATAATTTCAACAAAGGACCAACTATCCTTAATGTGAGATCGAGGTTTCTTGACTGCATTTTGTAAAATCTCACCTAAATAAGATGCAATGTAATAAACCGGACTTCCCAACGTTGAAATTATGATACGAAGAGGGTAACCTACTTTATGGATCTTAGGTAAACCATAGGCACGAGGCAAATTGCCATTAGTACATCTCAATTGTTTGTAAATTGAATCATCTATGAGTCCATTATCCAACCAAGATTTTAATAAAGTTGTGATCTTTGCGTTGAGAGCGTTTAATGGATTTTTATTAAGTGGTTTATAAGTGGAAACATCTTTCAGTAAACAATTCATTTTCCCCACATAATCAGTCCGATTCATCAATACTGTGACTTGGCCCTTATCGGCTTTTGTTACGAAAATGTTACTATTAGATTTCAAAAATTTTGAACAATAAGCGTATCTATTAAAAATGTAACTATCAATATGACTCACATGCTTTTGTTTACTTAAAAATTTTTTTACTGAGCTCGCTACTGAAAATCTCACATTGTCGATGTTATCCTTAGGAAACTTTCTATAATTTGCTTCTATATTTTTTATGTTTTCCAAAACCGAGATTTTCCTATCGTTTTTATTATTTCTAAAAATGGGCACGCCAAACTTGTCACCCAAACTCAAAAAATTCATAACTGAATCCGGAACGCGATAATTACTAATGTTAACAATCCATTTGCTGTAATCTATTTTTGTCAATGGATTTCGAACCCCATAATACTTCCGACAAATGTAATCGAATTTCTTTCTTAAACGCCTTAAAAATTTATTATTATTATTTTAAATTGTTACATAAAATAAGACAATATTAATATATTTTTTTAGTTATACATGAATTTATTAAAACAAATTTTAACGTATCATCATCAAATAATTCTAAATCCTTCGGTTATGGTTCTATTACAAATGGAATTTATAAATTGGAAATAAAAATAAATGATTATGACAATAATAATGAATTCGAGAAAGGCAAGAAATTGAAATAAAAGGATACTTGAAAATTACAAGTAAATAATTAAAAAATTTTAATTTTAAAAACGAAAGTATATATTTATTATTTCTATTAATGTTACAAATTTATTTTATAGATGACATCTTCTATCTAGATGTTGAAAAATAACGGATATAAAATGCATCGAAGGAAGAAAAATGTCTCTTATGGAAGTTTTACTTGGATCGAAAGTAATTATGAAGAGGAAGGGTGACGAAAATAAATTAGAAGTGCCAAATAAAGTTTCTTGTAGTTTTTAAGTAATTAAATATGTTAATGTATTATTTATTTTAAATTATTTAAATCTTTATAAGAGAGAGAGAGAGAGAGAGAGATATTAAAAATTTTAAAGTATGTTATAATAACTTAATATATCATAATAATTTAATGTTAAACAGTTAATTTTAGTGTGTTATAATAATTTAATGTTAAATAGTTAATTTTAATGTTATTAATTATAATTTATATGATGTTAATGTTAATTAATTATATTTTCAATAAAGAACATTATTAATAATATTGCTTAATTTGTTAAATTAATAATTCTTTCATGTATCCGCACTCAAAAATCAAAATTAATCTTATATTAATGATACATCAATTTAAAAAAATCATTAATCTTTGCTAAATTGATAATATATTAATATCGTTTTATATACATATATATATTTTTTTTTCAATATTCTAATTATTTAT